AGCTACTTGGGAGGCTGAGGCAGGAGACTCGCTTGAGCCCAGGAGTTAGAGGTTGTTGGGAGCTGTGATACCACAGCACTCTACCCAGGGGGATACCTTGAGGCTCTGTCTCAAAAAAAAAAAAAAAAAACCACAAGTATCAACAAAAACAAAAACACTTCATTTGGGCTGGGCATGATGGCTCATGACTGTAATCCTAACACTCTGGGAGGCCAAGGTGGGTGGATTGCCTAAGCTCATGAGTTTGAAACCAGCCTAAGCAAGTGCGAGACCTCATCTCTTAAAAAAATAGCCAGGCATTGTGGCAGGTGACTATAGTCCCAGCTACTGGGGAGAATGAGGCAAGAGAATCACTTGAGCCCAAGAGTTTGAGGTTGTCAACTATGATGCCCGCGCATAAAAGTGAGACTCTGTCTCAAACAAAACAAAACAAAAAAAAGCACTTCATTTATATTGGGCAAATGGCATTGTTCATGGTCTTCCTATATAGGATCATAATTTCCCCCCAAACTGAATTTTTCTAGAGCCCATCCTTCCTAACATAGCTCCAACTATCTTTTGGAACTTTCAGTACATTTGTCTACTTAACAAAAAATGTTTGTTCTGGTTAGAGTATTCATTGAAACAATTATAAACATTTCTGTTACTACTAGCAAAATATGTAGCAAAAGTATCATCATAAAGATGAAGCCTCACTGAATTGAACATTCCAATCTTTAATTTATGTAAACTTTCTATTTTCTAATTAGGAACCATCACTTTCATTACTAAAACTAGTAATTTTTCTTTAGGAAGCAAAAATTAACTCATATCAAAAGAGATACTAGGCTTACAACATTAGCAAGAGAAAAAAGCTACAACAAGGGTAATTGATCTGCTAGGCCCCTAGCCAAGTGACTCAAAACCGCCCACCAACTTGTACTGAACAGTATTTTATTTCCTGCTTCAATAAAATTTAAAATGATTAATGTTATATAATTTCAGGGTTATTTTTGAATAATCAAAAGAGTATGTTGCCACCAGACAAATCTGGGATAATTTAGTAATGAATTATAAACCCTTAAAAAACAAGAATTCATATCAACAATAAATAAACAAATGGAAAAAAGTGAGAAGGGCTATGAGAGAATACCAAAGGCTGACTGATAAACATGGAAGGAGTGCTGGAGTTGGAAAATCATTATTTTGCAACTATCACAATAAAGATGGAATCAGGTAAAAATTATCAATGGACAGGACACCAAGTTGAAGGGGAAATTTTGACAGCTAAGAGGACATTTGCCTTATCTTAAAATTTTCTCTCCATAGACTACTTACTAGGTCCAGAGGAGGGAAAAAGAATAATAAAAAATTGGACAATGCCTTGAATAGTAAGAAACTGGGCAATGCCTTGACAGGATGATCAAAATTACCACCACCTGGGCTCAGTGCCTAGGGCACCAGGTAGGTACACCAGAGCTGGCGAGTTTGAATCCAGCCCAGGCCTGCCAAACAATAATGACAACTACAACCAAAAAAAATAGCGGGGCATTGTGGCAGTCGCCTATAGTCCCAGCTACTTGGGACACTGCAGCAAGAGAATCACTTATGCCCAAGAGTTGGAGGTTGCTGTGAGCTGTGACGCCATGGCACCCTACCCAGGGTGACAGCTTGAGGCTCTGTCTCAAAAAAAAAAGAAAAAAAAATTACAACCACCTGTGTGCTATCAGATGCGATTCCCCAAGAACACAACAGCACCTACACAGTATTCCAGCTAATACTTAACTTCAATCTAATCATGAGGAAACACAAAACACAAAATGAGGACTATTCTATTAAAAATGAGAAGAGGAAGAGATGGTACTGTATTCTTGAAAAATGTCAATGTAATAAAACACAAAGAAGTACTATGGAAATGATCCAAATTAAAGGAGGTTAAAAGACAAAAGAAGTGGCTCGGCGCCTGTGGCTCAAGTGGCTAAGGCACCAGCCACATATACCTAAGGTAGCAGATTTGAATCCAGCCCAGGCCCACCAAAACAACAATGACAGCAGCTGCAACCAAAAAATAGCCAGGCATTGTGGCGGCGCCTATGGTCCCAGCTACTTGGGAGGCTGA